CCCCCCTACAAGTCTCATGGGTTGCTTTGGTTGGCTTGTTTGTTTGCGAGTAGTTATTTGGGAACGCTTAGCTTTGTAATTGGAAAAAGGGCCAGTCTGCTTTTTCTCGTTTGAAACTCATACAATTTGTATTTTGTTTTGTATACCTCTTGGTTGAGAAGACCGATCTTTTGCGCAAATGCTGTGGCTGATACAATTGTGTCAAGTCGATGCATGAACTACCGTTGAATTTTTTTTTTTTTTTTCGTTTATAAACGCATCTCTTCAGGATGTCTCTTGGAGGGAGGTACTAGGATTTTGGGGGAAAGATGTGGCTCTCTGTTAGATCTGAGGATATAATATTGAATCATGTCATTGCACTTTCATATCTCCGGGTCTCAGATTGTAGCTTCTTTGATCTCAACCCTCCTATGACAACACCCACAAATTGGATCTTGGTTAGAAAGCAGTGGTGTTGAAAGTGGCACGAGATGTCCTCGAAAATACATCTGCAGAGTGTCGTTTTAACCGACGCCTTGGATACCCCAAATACCAACGGAGTGTTCCAAATCGAGCAATTCATAGACCGGTTTTTTACGAGATACATCCCAAATAGACGGTTGGAGTCGTTAGGTGCGGGAGAAGGCGATTCATTTGAGATATCGTTTGTCAGAGATTTTTCTTGCATATCTCTCAAGTCCAGTTTCTCCAGACCCCGATAGGCTTTTGGGTATTAGATCATCGAGCATCTTGGAGTCATCCTCCCTGTCAAGAATTAAGTGTAGAAACTCTATACCCTTAGCCTAAGTGGGCACTGCCATTAAAATAGCCTCCTAAAGTCGAGCCCGCCAAAAGGAAAACGAGATATCCATTTCTATCTTAGTGGGCCGTTGATCCATTTATAAGTTAGACCCAATTTGGACCCAACTAGAAGCAGTAAATTTTGTGATCGGTAGACTTATTTGTAGTAGTGGTAGACTTATTTATAGTAGTGGTAGATTTATGTTTGAGTGATAGATTTATTAGTAGTTGTGGTAGATTTATTTTTGTAATTGGTAGACTTATTGATGGTTCGCGCAATGGTAGATTTATTTATAGTAGTAGTAGATTTATTTTTTAGTGATAGACTTATTAGTAGTAGTGGTAGAATTAATTTTGTGATCGGTAGACTTATTGATGGTTAGCGCGATGATAGACTTGTTTATAGTAGTGGTAGACTTATTTATAGTAGTGGTAGAGTTAATTTTGTGGGCCGTAGATTTATTTATAGTAGTGGTAGGTTTAATTTTTTGATCGGTAGACTTATTGATGGTTAGCAATGGTAGACTTATTTATAGTAGTGGTAGATTTATAAATATCTGGTAGACTTATTTATAATAATGGTAGAGTTAATTTTGTGATCGGTAGACTTATTGATGATTCGCGCGATGGTAGACTTATTTATAGTAGTGGTAGATTTGTAAAATGTAGTAGACTTATTTGTATTTGTGGTAGATTTATTCAATCTTTTCAGATTTTTACTAAAACAACCTTACTTAATTACAGTTGTGGTAGATTTATTTATAGTAGTGGTAGATTTATAATATGTGGTAAACTTATTTATAGCCGTGGTGGATTTATCATATGTGGTAGACTTATTTGTAGTAGTGGTAGATTTATAATATTTATTTATAGTAGTGATAGACTTATTCAATGAAGGACAAAATCGTAATTTACTTCATCTTCTCCAACCCGCCCAAACTTATGTCAAACCTTAACAATGGCGGCCAACTCATTTTTAGCTCGTTTTTGCTGTGTTTTAACTTGTTTTCAACTGGGTTTAGCCTAAAACTAGTAGATCAAAAGTTATATATCCTTTTTCTAATAATAAATCAAAAGATTTCGAGTTTTTTTTTCACCTTATGATTTTTTATCCGATTTTATCTAAATTCCGGTGCTTCCTCAGCCTCCACACCTCCGCCGAGCGCGTCTCCGGTGATTCCGCAGCCTCCGTAGCCGCGTTTTCAAACAAATTTTTCAGTTTTTTTTTTTAATTCACAATGACATTTTCGTAATAAAAACTTTTTACTAAGGTTAATATGTCTTTTAGACCTTTGTCAAGTTTCAAGTTTGATAAAAAATTGTTTTAGTAATTACCCTACTTTCCAAAGTTATTTTAATTATCTCTAAATGAAACACGTTATGGAATTCCAATAGTGAATCAATAGACTAATACATGTAACTCTTTTCTTAATTCATGGAAAAAAGTGTCAAGAAGGACCGTTAATTTGAAACGGAGGGAGTATCTCGAATCTTATTTTGGCATGTGGAATCTGAGACTCTTTTGGAAGTAGAAGATGGACTTGGAATTGCAACCTGACGTCTTCGTTGTTCATACTAAATGGAACGTGGATGGTAATCAAGTGATGCGATGGAGCCGCCTTTTCCGCTTTCATGTTCGTAGAAAGATAGATATTAGGTTTGAGGTCAATCCGAAGTACCCGGCCAGCTTCCCAGTTCCACTTACATGGAAACGCCGGAAATTGCAGACGTAAAGGCTCCTCGCAAACAATCTCTACAAAAACAATGAAACCAAGAAGCTTTGGTGCAAGCCTAGGTAGGTAGATTCTCTGAGATTTCTCTTGAGTTTGGCAATCGTTGGAGCTGGACCCTCCGATTCTTGGCAAACAAGCAAATGCTGGTGTAACCTATAGGGAAGCAAATTGTGAATTAGATTACGACGAATATGAAAAAAAAACAGCTTGAGAGCAGAAAGCTTACCACTTGAGTATGTTCGTCATAGAAGAACATACTAGTCAAATGCTCTTTCTCACGTAGACTGAAGCAATGGCTAAGATCGAGGTGTTTGGTCGAATGGTTTGAGGAAAGGGAGAAATTCATGAGGGACTCGCAGCCGTGTATGTAGAGATACTGGATGCTCAATGGAAGCTCTTCTATTGATTTGAGCTTCTTGCAGTTATTAAAGAAGAGAGTTCCCAACGATGAAAGCTCTTTGATGCTTGAAGGCAATGCCACAAAGTCATGCCTGCTAAGGTCTAAATATGTTAATTTGGTGAAACGACTCAGGCTTTCCGACAATAGCTGAACATTATTGCAGTTGTCAAGCCAAAGCTCAAGCAAGCAGTTTGTATCGTGTTCTTCCACGACATGAAGTCCAAGCAACGAACGGAGGTTCACACAGTCAGAAAGTATGAGCATCTCCAACTGAGTAAGTTGTGGCAATGCGACAAGTCCGCGACAGTTTCCAAGGCTGAGATACTTCAACTTGGCCAGTACTCGCATTGTTGAAGGTAGATACGCGAAATCATTTCCACTAAGGTCCAATGTCTTTAGAAGTTGCAACTGGTCAATATCGTCTGGAATTGCTTGGATGTTTAAATTGATCAGCTTTAACTTTGTCAAACAAGCAAAGTTTGAAAAGCTGTAACAGCTTAAAGAAGTACGATCCTTATTGTATTTGAACCGTCTTATGTGGAGTGATTCAAAAATGTATGTATCCGAGTCTGACATGGGCAGAGGCGTTACTGTTTTATGTGACACCTCCATCAGTTCATGAGTGATCTGCACGGTACTAAAGGAGAGGTGCTCTGCATTTCCACTGAGACCCAACAACTGAATAGATATTTTCCCGTCGATGGACAAATCTGTAGGAAAAGCCACTGTTTCCCTCGTACTTGAGAACGTCACTATCATTTTTTGGCGACCCCTGCGACTGGGGTTGATCTCATGAAGAAGAGTAACGTGTAGGAGACCCTTGAGGCTATCACATTGGATCATATTGAGTTTCCTCAGGTTTAAACCATTTATGGACCCTTGGATTCTTTTCAGACTTCTGCAGCCGTCCGTTATCAACTCCTCAAGGTTCACAGCAGTTGAAAGATCTGGAAGTTTTGTTAGATTCCTAGATCCTGACAGATATAGTCTCCTTAGGCTATGAAGCCACTGAAAACAATGCAATAAACAAGGAAAAAGATGTAAGGG